CCATCTGCAGTGATTTTGGAGCCCAAGAAAATAAAGACTATTACTGTTTCCATTTTTTCCCGAACTATTTGCCATGAAGGGATGGGACCATATGCCATGATCATAGTTTTTTGAATATTGAGTTTTAAGCCAGCTTTTTCACTCTCTGCTTTCACCTTCATCAAGAAGCTCTTTAGTTCCTCTTAGCTTTCTGCCATAAGAATGGTGTCATCTGCATATCCAAGGTTATTGACATTTCTCCTGGCAATGTTGATTCCATCTTGGGCTTCATCCAGCCGGCATTTCACATGATGTACTCTGCAAATAAGTTAAATAAGCAGGGTGACAATATACAGCCTTGAAGTACTCCTTTCCCAATTTGGGACCCATCCATTGTTCCATGTCCTGTTCTAACTGTTGCTTCGTGACCTGCATACAGGTTTCCCAGGAGGCAGGTAAGGTGGTCTGGTATTCCCATCTCTTGAAGAATTTTCCAATTTGTTGTGATCCACACAGCCAAAGGCTTTAGTGTGGTCAATGATGCAGAAGTAGATGTTTCTCTGGAATTCCTTTGCTTTTTCTATGATCCAGTAGATGTTGGCAATTTGATCTCTGGTTCCTCTCCCTTTTCTAAATTCAGCTTGTACATCAGGAAGTCTGCAGTTCAGATATTGTTGAAGCCTAGCTTCAAGAATTTTGAGCATTACCTTGCTAGCAAGTGAAATGAATGCAATTGTGTGTAGTTTGAACATATACATATATATAGAGAGAGTTTTCAGATTATTTTTCATTAAAGGTTATTATAAGACACTCAGTTAACTTCCTGTTATGCAGTAAATCCTTGTTGCTTATCTATCTTATGTATAGTAGTTTGTAGATACAAACTAATCCCATACTGCTAATTTATCCCTCCCCCCTTCCTGTCCCCTTTGGTAACCATGTTTGTTTTCTACATCTGTGAGTATGTTTCTGTTTTGTATATAGATTCATTTTAGGCTCTACATATAAGTGATATTTAATGTTTGTCTTTCTTCACTAAGAAAGTAAGTCATTTGAGTTAATTCACTAAGTATAATGGGTCTTCCAAGTGTTGCTAGTGGTAAAGAACCTGCCTGCCAATGCAGGAGACACAGGAGATGCGAGTTCAATCCCTGGGCTGGGAAGATCCCCTGGAGGAGTGCATGACAAGCCACTCCAGTGTTCTTGCCTGGAGAATCCTATGGACAGAGGAGCCTGGTGGGCTATAGTCCACGGGAGTCGCAAAGAGTCGGACACGACTGAAGCAACTAAGCACACATGCACGCACCAAGTATAATCCTCTCTACGTCCATCTGCAAATGGCAATACGTCATTCTTTTTTATGGCTGAGTAATATTCTGTCATGTATATGTACCGTCTTTTGAAGCAGCTCATCTATTGATGGGCACTTGGGTTGTTTCCATATCTCAGCTATTATAAATAGTTCTGTCGTGAATGCTGGTATCTTTTTTAATGCATGTATCTTTTTTTAATTAGAGTTTTCATATTTTCCAGATATATGCCCAGGAGTGGGAATGCTGGATCATATGATAGTTCTAGTTTTAGTTTTTAAAGGAACTTCCATTCTGTTTTACATAGTGGCTGCACCAATTTACATCTCCACCAGCAGTGGAGGAGGGTTCCATTTCTCCATATTCTCTCCAGCAAAGTAAGTTTTTTTAAGCTGCTAAGTTTGGGGGTGACTTGTTACACAACAGTAGTAGCATGAAGAGCAATTTTGTACCCAGAGTGGGGTGTTAATACACCAAAAACTCAAAATGCACAGTACTGTCCTGGGACTGGGCAGCAGGAGCCTGGAAGGAGCTGAGAAGACTCCTGGTGGAACCCTGATGGGCCGCAGGCTGTGGATGATGCTCAAAGTGAGAACCATGCTGTTGGAAGATGGAGAAAAAGTTACTGTTAGACAATGATGGAAGGCTTAGCAAAACTGTTCCCCGCAATAATGTAGGAAGTAGAAAACTGTGCCCAGTGAACCGATGGCTCTGGCATGGAAGATTTCCAGGAAAAATGTTGAAGTTCCAACTGCACCTGAGTGACAGGTTTGAAGCAAGCAGGGCCAGGCCAAGCGCAAATGGAAAGGTTGTTGTAAACTGCCGGGTTTGGGGTCCACAGGAGGCCGCAATGGTAACTGAACAGCCTTGTTATTCAGCCTTGTTTTGTGCACTGTGAGAAAGGACTGGAAAAGGAAGAACATGACAAATAACCGTTCTGTTTTCTGTGGCAGTGGGGAAAGGAATTTTCTAGCAACTCTGGTTTGGGGAAATTTGAGTGTCAGAAAATCTCTCACACTGTGCAAATTTAATTGGCAGTGCTATTTTTATTGTGAAACACGTCCTTTAAGGAAGGGGGAGAGGGACCTCCCTGGTCATCCAGTGCCTAGTAAGATCCCAGCTTGCAATCCCTGGTGGGTAACTAAGGTCCCACATGCTGTGGGGTCACTGAACCCATGCACTGCAACTGGAGTGGCCGTGTGCCCCAGCGAAAGACTGTGCGGGAAGGCCTCGCACGCTGAGACCAAGACCCGATGTGACCAGATTAATTAACCTGTTAATTAAAAAGAGGATGTGGGTTCAATTCCTGGTCAAGGAACTAAGATCCCATGTGCCTGGCACACAGTACCCCCAAAGCAAAGTGGGAGTGGGGCAGAGAACTGAGACCACCACTGCCTGTCTGGGACCAGGCACTCATCTCTCAATAGCTTTGGAGGAAAGTGATATTGGCGATGGGTAGAGCTGCAGAAGGTGTCCCTGGAGTCTTCAGGTGAGAACCGAATAGCGGTTGTGTGAGAAATCTACCTAAGGCTGAAGAAGGAGCAACCAGGAAGGGAAAGCTGGTATTACCTTTCCCCGGTGCCACAGAAGGCAGGACTGTTATTTGTCTTGTTTAGTTTGTTTTGCCAGTCCTTTCTCACAGTGCACAAAACAAGCCTGAATAACAGTGGTGCAGTTATTATGGCTGCATTCTTGCTGTTCACACAGGGCCAGGGGTAGTTCCTATATCCACTAGCCAGAGTGGGAAGTCTTCTTTGAAAACTGGGTGTGATGCTGAGATGCCAAAATAAATTCCCTATGGGCAAAGGGCAGAGCTGGAAGGCATGGGTGTGGGGCTGCCAGGCCTCCACAAGGGGTAGAGAGGACTTGGGTTGGCAGGTGGGACAGTTAACTTGGGATCACTTCACAAGGGTCCTGAATGCCAAGAGGGTGAGTGCAGTTCGATGGGGGGATCATAGACAATTTTACCATTAGCAAAATCTTAGCCTTCCCACAAGGTGATGGGTGGGTGCAGCCTCTCCTGCATCTACCTACCCACTATCCCCGACCCCCTCACCATCTTCCATCTGTAGCCATTCAGAACTATAGACCCCTGTTATTAGGGCAGAAAGAGCCCCAGAGGCCTTGTAATCCCACCACTCCACTTTAGAAAGGCAATGTGGCCCACTCTGAGACCCCCTTTTTTCAGATTCAACGTATTGGCTTCTCTTATCTGAATGTTGGGGTGCCCGAGGGCCTGGCCCTCTCTTCTCTGCAGTTTCCTGTCTTCTGAAGTCATCTTCATTCTTTCTGTGGCTTTAAAGACCCCAAAATTCTGATGACCTGTTCACGTAGGACTCTTGTCCTGACCTCTTCTCGGAACTCTGCGTACATACATACATCCCTAGCCGTCTGCTCACCATCCCTGCCTGGATGGCTAACAGACATCTTGGATTAAACACGTGCCAAATACAACTCCTGCTCTTTTCCCCAAAACTTGTCCTCCCCAATCTTTCTCATCTCACCATCCACCCAGAGGCTCCTACCGAAACCTAGGTGTCATCCCCCATTCCTACCTTCTTTCACCCCCGTGTCCAGTTCAGTGGAAGGTCTTGCCTCTCCTACTTGGAAACCTTGGACATCCCATTTCTGCCACCATGATCACACACACCAAGCCCTGCTATTTCTTTCCTAGATGAATGAGATTGTCTTTTCTCTCTTAGACTCCTTGCCCTCCCGATTTTCCAGAAAAAGAGAGAAATCTTTGAAAACATGACTCAGTCTATTGCCCTCCTGGCTTTAAGTCTTCCAGTCGCAAGACCCTCATCGTAGGCATTTAGGTGAGCAATAGCAATTTTATATTTGTGAATATAATTTGACTTTCCATAAATGAGACTTGGTCAAACATTTTCTGAAATTTTTTAACTAGAAAAATATATTTACCAGGAAAATTTCATCCTCTATTCACTTAATACTATGAGAAATAGCTCAAAGAAAGAAAGAAAGAGCTCATCATTATTTACTTCTTATATAAAAAAGGTCTTTACTACTTTATCTCCATTGGGTACATAATTTTCTGCTATTTTGAGTAATTAGTTTCTGTGGGTTTTTAAAAATTATACTGGAGTATAATGGATTTGCTGTGTTGTATTAGTTTCTGCTGCACAGCAAAGTGAATCAGTCACACATGTACACACATCCATTTTTTTTAAGATACTGTTTCCATACAGATCATTATGCCGAAGAACTGATGCTTTTGAACTGTGGTATTGGAGAAGACTGTTGATAGTCCCTTGGACAGCAAGGAGATCCAACCAGTCCATCCTAAAGGAAGTCCATCCTGAATATTCACTGGAAGAACTGAAGTTGAAACTCCAATACATTGGCCACCTGATGCGAAGAACTGACTCATTGGAAAAGACCCTGATGCTGGGAAAGATTGAAGGCGGGAGGAGAAGGGGACGACAAGATGAGATGGTTGGATGGCATCACTGACTCGATGGGCATGAGTTTGAGTAAACTCCAGGAGTTGGTGATGGACAGGGAGGCCTGGCGTGCTACAGTTCATGGGGTCACAAAGAGTTGGACATGACTGAGTGACTGAACTGAACTGAACTGATACATAACAGAGCTTAAGGAGCTTCCCTTGTAGCTCAGTCAGTAAAGAATCTGTCTGCAATGCAGGAGACCTGGGTTTGATCCCAGGGTCAGGAAGATCCCTTGGAGAAGGAAATGGCAAATCACTCCAGTATTCTCACCTGGAGAATCCCATGGACAGAGGAGCGTGGTGGGCCACAGTCCATGGGATTGCAAGAGTTGGACACAACTGAGCAACTAAACCACCAACCACCACCATACATAATAGAAGATTTACCATTTCAGCCATTTTCTTTCCTTCTTCTTTTTTGCCACATCATGTGGCATGTGGGATTGAACTCAGGTCCCCTGCAGTGGGAGTGCAGAGTCCTAACCACTGGCTGCCAGGGAAGCGTGATTTTAGCCATTTTTAAGTGTACAATTAAGTGTACAATCCAAGTGTACAATTCAGTGGCATTTAGCACATTCACAATATTGTGCCACCATCATTATCTATTCCCAGAACTTTTTCACTATCCCAAACATAAATTCTGCACCCGTTAAATGACATCTCCTATCCCTCCCTTCCCCCCACCCTTGGTACCCCAATTCTACTCTGTTTCTGTGGATTTGCCTGCTCTGCTGCTGCTGCTAAGTCACCTCAGTTGTGTCCGGCTCTGTGCGACCCCATAGACAGCAGCCCACTAGGCTCCCCCGTCCCTGGGATTCTCCAGGCAAGAACACTGGAGTGGGTTGCCATTTCCTTCTCCAGTGCATGAAAGTGAAAAGTGAAAGTGAAGTTGCTCAGTTCTGTCCGACTCTTAGCGACCCCATGGACCACAGCCTACCAGGCTCCTCTGTCCATGGGATTTTCCAGGCAAGAGTACTGAAGTGGGGTGCCATTGCCTTCTCCATATATAAATGGAATAATAAATCATTTGTCATTTGTTCTTTTGTGTTTGGCTTATTTCACCTAGCAAAATGTTTCCAAGATTCATCCTTGTTTTAGAATGTATTAAAATTTCATTAATTTTTTTTGGCTAAATAGTATCCTATTGTATACATATACCACATTTTGTTTAACATTCATCTATTGAGGGACATGAATTGTTTCCACCTTTTCTCTATTGTGTATTATGTATTCCCAAAGAAAGGCAATGCCAGAGAATGTTCAAATTACCACACAATTGCACGTATCTCACAGGCTAGCAAAGTAATGCTCAAAATTCTCCAAGCCAGGCTTCAACAGTACATGAACTGAGAACTACCAGATGTTCAAGCTGGATTTAGAAAAGGCAGAGGAACCAGAGATCAAATTGCCAACTTCTGTTGGATCATCAAAAAAGCAAGAGAGTTCCAGAAAACCATCTACTTCTGCTTTATTGACTATGCCAAAGCCTTTGTGTAGATCACAACAAACTGTGGAAAATTCTTAAAGAGATGGGAATACCAGACCACCTGACCTGCCTCCTAAGAAATCTGTATACAGATCAAGAAGCAACAGTTAGAACTGGACATGGAACAACAGACTGGTTTCAAATTGGGAAAGGAGTACATCAAGGCTGTATATTGTCACCCTGCTTATTTAACCTATATGCAGAGTACATAATGCAAAATGCTGGGCTGGATGAAGCACAAGCTGGAATCAAGATTGCCAGGAGAAATATCAATATCCTCAGATACGCAGATGACACCACCCTTATGGCAGAAAGTGAAGAACTAAAGAGCCTCTTGATGAAAGTGAAAAAAAAAAGTTGGCTTAAAACTCAACATTCAGAAAATGAAGATTATGGCAGCTGGTCCCATCACTTCATGGCAAATAGATGGGGAAACAGTGGAAACAGTGAGAGACTATTTTTAGGGGCTCCAAAATCACTGCAGATGGTGACTGCAGCCATGAAATTAAAAGATGCGTGTTCCTTGTAAGAAAAGTTATGACCAATCTAGACAGCATATTAAAAAGCAGACACGTTACTTTGCCAGCAAAAGTCTGTCTAGTCAAAGCTGTGGTTTTTCCAATGGTCATGTATGGATGTGAGAGTTGGACTATAAAGAAAGCTGAACACTGAAGAATTGATGAACCGTGGTGTTGGAGAACACTCTTGAGAATCCCTTAGACTGCAAGGAGATCCAACCAGTCCATCCTAAAGGAGATCAGTCCTGGGTGTTCATTGGAAGGACTGATGCTGAAGCTGAAACTCTGATACTTTGGCCACATGATGGGAAGAACTGACTCATTTGTGAAAAGACCCTGATGCTGGGAAAGACTGAAGGCAGGAGGAGAAGGGGATGACAGAGGATGAGATGGTTGGATGGCATCACCAATTCAATGGACATGAGTTTGAGTCAACTCCCGGAGTTGGTGAAGGGGAGGGAAGCCTAGTGTGCTGCAGTCCATGGGGTCGCAAAGAGTTGGACACAACTGAGCGACTAAACTGAACTGAATTGGTTTGAGTCCCTATTTTCAATTCTTTGGGTTTTTGCCTAGGAGTGGACTTGCTAGGTCATAAAGTAGTTTTAGTATAACTTTCTGAAAACTAACAAACTCTTTTTCATAGTGACTATAGAATTTTACATTCCAAACATCAATTGATTTCTCTATTTTTGAAACAAAACTTTATGTATTCCTACCTGTGAAATATTAAAAATTCATATTAACATAATTTAAATATTATATTTGTAGTAATTATATAATTCATTAAATACATATTTTAAATGTATACTAAATTGTTTTAGACAAATATGGTATCTGTAGTATCTACAAAGTCAAATGGTGTAATACTCTGGAAAAGAAAAAAAAATATGCAGAAATGTATTAAAATAATAGGGGACAATTACAAATTGGACTAGAAAAACAGTATTCTAGCAACTAAAAATGAGGGTTCCTTAACATTGACATTATTAGAACAGAACTACCATCAAATTCAGATTCTTAAAGATTCTTATTTGGGAAATAAAGAGAAATATTAGAAATTTCAGATACTTGTGTGAGCAAAAGTAAGAAGATGCCATTTTGAAATACATTTTTAATAGTTTTGCATTATGGTTGCTACTTTGTGACAATAAAAATTATTTTAATACAACACAGACCCAACAAAGGAAAAGGGTATATTTTAGAGAAGCTAGGTTAAAGAATCTATTTCACATGATGGCCAAAGATTCTTCCATATTATTTTTTTTACTATTATAATGGCAAATAAATTCACTGTGACTGGTTCATTTATTTACCAGAAGTGTCTTTATTTTTCACACATTTCCCCACAATGATACAACAGAATCAAATTTTTGTAACCATCAAAAAGTTTCAAATATTAGAAAAATTTAAACAGAAGCTGTGATCTTGAAAATTTGATGTCTCATTGTGATGCTGTCTAAAATGGGAAGTGTCTTTGAAAAATATTTAAACTGACAGTTTAATAGATGTTTTGCAGAAGATGACAAAATCAAAGCAACAAAAATCACAATATATTGAGTGGTTTTAGATGTTACACTTTGAAGAAAACAATTTAAATCTTAAGAGAATCACAGGAAATTATTGGAAATCCGTGTGCCTGGTCTAATAAAATTCAAAACAAGTATATCATGTTACAAGCAAATCACATGAGTTCTGAAATAATTGTCAAGAATGGAGCAAGTACTTTTTATTTTTTGCTTGTACACAAGATGTAGTCCATTGTGAACAAGCATATCTGACCCTGAGGTCTGCTCACATTAAGAACAATGTCATGACAATAAAATAAGTTTTACTGATTTCATTGAAATGAAAGAGGAAGCTTTCTAAGTCTAGGTTATGAAATTAGAGGTTGGAAATAAAATTAAAAATGCCTGTGGCCAGGTATAGTCTAATGGAGAAAATACAGCATGTTATACAAGAGTTTATAAGGCATTTTCCTCCAAATATGATTATGCCCAATTTGTGCTTCCTCAGCTCATAATAATATACAAAAATGCTGCCCCTGGGAAATAAAATGTTAACCATTTTTTAGCATTTATACATAGGTATATGGATACATATAATATACATATTTTGTGTGTGAAGTTTTAAAAATGGATGTGGATGGGATATTTTTATGTCTGTTCTAAAACCTACATTAAAAACACATCCAGATACCCTGTGAGGATCAAGATTAAATGTAAACAAGATATTTAGTATACAAAGGCACTTATACTGAAATATGTATTAAATGAAATGCATACATCAAAAGCATCTTGGCGTAAATGCATTACTTTATACAATCTATCTGTGTAGGATGTTATTCTAAACCAAGTGTAAAAGTTAATGTCTATACAATTAAAAAAAGACTGTACATTAAGTTGTATGCTTAGGAGGCCTGTACCTTTGCTTAGAAATAACAGAAAGCTTTCACGTTTGATTAATGTGAAATCTTAGCAGAAGATAGGGGCTACTGCTTGAACTTTATGAAAGGCAGTTATGCTCACCACTGTGTCACCAATGCGGCACTTGACTTTCAAAGTTAAAGTATATTGGAAATGAATCACTAGATGAGTGTCAATTATTATAAGAAAACTGCATATCAAACGGAAATTAAAGAAATTATAGGTGCCTTAATTTCACATTTTAAATGAATATATGAAAAATTAAAAGTGTCTTTACATTTTGAATTTTTAACTGGAGAAAAGTTTTCTGTGGATACCTCTGACTTCCACAAAGCAGCCACTTACTTGACTCAAATATCCGAAGTCCTATATATCCATCTGATATAGTTTTAAGCAGCATGCAGTATCAGTTATTTACAAAATAGTGTTTGTACCTTCTAAGGCTGATTCACAAATTTGCTTAGTGCAATCTTTCCAATTTGGACATGGTCTTGAGAAGGTTGTTAGCATTCCCAGTCACCGTGGCATCCTGTAAGACATTTCAGTAAGCTGCAGTAAATGAAAAATTAAGATCACTTCATCAAAAGAAATTAGCATGGCAATTCTCTCCTTTAAAGACAAGTAGTAGACTTTGGAAATATTGATGAGTTTGTTTCCACTAAAACCAGGAAAGCAAGATTATCAGTTGGTTTTTATATAAATATAAGAATTAAACTGTTTTGATATATCTACTTTTCAACAGGTTTTTACCTACTTCGGTGTTCAGGAAAAAAAATATTAAAAAATAATTCCTTTTGCTTTAGGCTCCAGTATTATATGTAATTTGTGGTAGCTTAGAGGGTAAAGCACCTGCCTGCAATGGGGGAGACCCAGGTTCAACCGCTGGGTTGGGAAGATCCTCTGGAGAAGGAAATGGCAACCCATTCCAGTACTCTTGCCTGGAAAATTCCATGGACAGAGGAGACTGGTGGGCTACAGTCCATGGGATCCAAAGAGGTGAACATGACTGAGCGACTTCACTTTGTACCTTTGTACCAGTATCACAAGGCAGGTTACTGAGTGGTTGCCTCTGAGCGGACTGGGGGTCAGCCAGCAAGGGCCATGAGGGAACTTTCTGGGGTGATGGGAACACTCAGTATCTTGATAAGGGTCTGAGTTACAAAAATGCATACACTTGTCAAAAGAGTGAATGTTCACTTACAAGCTGGGCATTTCATTGTTTTATA